GGCCGGCCCTGAACTCATTTCTTTAAACTGGTTCTCAAATGGGATTAATGTCCCAGGTCTCTCATTTCTCCAAATGCCAGATGCCTGGGTAGCAAGCAGGGCCCACTGGAACTGGGGTGAAGCAGGTGAGGCACCCCCCGGACACTGAGGGTGAGAGTCAACTCAAAGGTTACAGCCGGGGTGCTTACTCGGGGCCCAGCCACACTGGGCAGTGTAAACATTGTCTTTCGTTTTGGTCTTAACTTGAAAAGTGGATTAAGAAGCTGCAAACCCAGCTGAAGTTTGCAGCTGTTTGAACAGTTCTCCTTTGTTAGCGGCACACAGCTGAGGAGGAAAATACCAGCGAGGAATTCACACTTGGCAAGAAGCAAAATATGAAAGCCCGACGGCTGATTTCCTAATGGACATGTCATTTTCCTCAGCAGAGCCTTTGGTTGCCGGAGGAACCGTTTGCAGGGTCGCAAAACATTTAGGATCGGTCGCCTCTGTTGGTGTCAGCCTAGTCCACTGAGCTGGAGCAGGGTGTGAAAACCTCTGCCGGTGGTTTCAGCTTTAATCCACCTAAGCCGTGGGCCAAGGGACTGAGAGAGGAATCAGGGCCCGTGGGTTGCAGATTGAGCCCTAACTTTGGAGAGACCGTGCCCTTGCTCAGAACAGCTAGGGCGTGCGTCTTCCTCTGCTGCTCGCAGGGGCAGAACAGCCTAGCGAACTGCCAAGAAGCGGTCTGTGTTGGCTCCTTCCGAGGCATAGCGCCTGCCCCGCTGCCTTGGGAACGCTGTGCCACACACAGGACATCAACAGACAGCTTTGAACCTGCAGGCTCTCTCTCCTTCCTGTTATAGGAATCTGTGCAAATCGTTGCAATGAGTGGATGTGTTACAAAGGTGAGCTGAAACCAGGACGCCCAAAATGAATAAAATTAAAAGCCCAAAGGGACCAGCTGACCTAGAAATTCCTCGTTCCTGTGCTTTCCCCACATTCTTCTCCTTTCTCCCATAAACCCACGGATGAGAAGAAGGGCTCGGAGCTGATGAAATAATGTGAAATAATGTGGCTTTTGCCTCCCTGCCCTCCGCAGATGCTTATAGAGAATCCCCCACCCCCTGCCCCCTGCCCTTAGATGCTGGGTTCTCTGCTGCGTTTCTCCCAAGAGCTGCATCCATTGCCTGGAAATGGATAGGATGCTGTGAGGCGATTTACCCAAAGGACGCATGGTATTTGCATGTAATTTCCCTCGCACACTGGGCCACCCCTCCCCAGACCGTTTATTCAAGTTAAAAGCATTTTTATGGCCCTGTCCATGGCAGTCACTTCTGGATTTTTTTTCCTCTTGTCTGTGTTGTCTTCTCCCTCAGGCCCTCCCCCTGGCCCAGATCTCTGGCAAGGGAGCCAAGTGGCGCCAAGGAAGGACCACAGAGGAATGCAGGACTGGCTGCCCAGAGGTGCTGCTCCAAGGGTTTGGCGGCTTATCTCCCCTTTACCCTGGTCACTGGCTGAAGTTCTCGTTTCCCAAACTGTAACACTGTGTGATTACATTGTAGAAAGTGGGACTCTAACTCAATTAGTTCACAGAAAGTCTCTTTGATCTAGAATTTCTCGGAACTACCCCCATCCCGTTTTCTTCTGCCTCATGACCCTAGGCAGCTGGGAATTGCTTCTTTTTTAACTGGGCCTTGATTCACTTATTGCTTTTTGGCAATAGCCAGTGGGTCTGGGCTATTTTGCAGGTGAGGAAACAAAGCTTAGTCCAAAGGTACACAACTGGTTAGGGTCTTGATTTGTCCAACTCAAAGCACAGTGCTTTTTCTCTGCCTTGGTTTCTTCAACTGTAAAATGGGGGGGTGTTAACAGCACGTACATCACAGGGTTGCTGTAAGGGACGAATGCTCTAGTATATGTAAAAGCTTTAAAAATAGGGCCTGGCACATAGTGTTCAATAAATGTACACTAATGTTATTGTTCTGTGCCTTGTTTTTCTTTACTGTTGGAAGCATTGGATTCATGACTCATTCGTGGGAGGAGTGACTTAGTTATAGGCTTGGGGAGTGCTTTCCAAGATGGGGAATGAACCTCTTTCCCGGGGTCAGAGCAGGCTGAGGTGGGACCAGGACAGATCTTTGCAAGCAACAGGACTGAGCTGCCTGATCGAGCCACACCCCTGCCTGGCTTTGGCTGGAAGAAACCCTCAGAAACAAATAAACCCCTAAAAGGGATGGTACCCCCTTTACAAAACGCTGAGAGCAAGAAGAACAAAAGCTTCTGAACAGAGCCCAGGAATATGAGGCAACATTGTCCTCTATGATGTGCGGAAGGCCTTCTATTTTGAAGCGGTCCTAGATTCTTAACGACTTGTAGTTTACCTTTCCCCAGAAATTACAAGGTAGGACCTGTGTATGGTGAGAGGTGTGTCAAGGAGGACACCAGTTCCCTCCCAAGGGTACGACTGAAAGCCCATCAGCTTGTCTGAGCGAGGAACTTGTCCTAAAGCTCAGGCCTCCTCAGTGTCAGTCAACATAAGTGACAGAGATCCTGCCATCTTGGGACCTTGGAGAGAACCAAGGCTGATTGGGTGTGGGTACCTTCAGCTCCAGGTCTGTCGGCTACTGCCGAAAGGAGGGCGATGAAAAATGAAAAATATAATCAGGAAAAAGCTAGACTCTATAAAATGGCTTTACAAACCTAGTCAAGGGGACGAGACATTCAAACTATACTTTAAACATTGTTGAAGAGTTGTGAAGTCATGTTCTAGCAGTTGGAATTTTTGCTGATCAGCCCACTCTCTCAGGAAAATAAAACACCAGACCCACAAATAAAATAAAAGGTTTAAAACACAAGTGTCTGTAATTAAGCTTTGGAATGACGTCTTGCGCCTGTCCAAGCTCCCCGCTGATCGGTGTGTTTTCAGGAGGAGTCCCTGGTCTGCCTGCGTTCACCTGAGTTGACTCTCTTGCAACCAGTCCATCCGCAGTTTCCAAAAGGTGCAATCAGAGGGTGACTGTCTTGATCTTATCTTGGGTTGATGGTCTCCTAACTTCAGGGCCACAGGAGCTGGCCAAAGGACCCACGAACAGACAGCATCTATAGAGTTCAGCGCTTTGAAAGGAGCCACATAAGAGGGATGGCGACATCTTCCTAGCGGGTCACCAGCCCTGACTCATCTCCCCGACCCCTGGGAGATGGGGTTGGCACAGCACTTTGGGGCTGAGGCGCTGGGGGCGTGGGAGACGCCAACGCCACGTGACCCTCTGCTCCCGAGCCCACCCGAGCTGCCACAGCTCAGGGGCCGGGGGCGCCCGTCTGCGGGGTTTGCGACCGTGGGCTTGGCGGATGCCCAGCGGCGGGGCTGGAGAAGGCTGCCTCCGGGCCGGGAAGCCGCGGGCCGCTTCGGATGTTGGGGACAACGGGGCGCGAACCCCGGCCGGGCCTCGCGCGCAGACCCGCGGCGGCGGCGCGGTAACCCGAGCCGGGACGAGCAGGCTCCGCCGGGCCACGCGCCTCGGCCCCCGGACCCCGCCCCGCGGCTCCGCCGCATCCCGCCGCCCATTGGCTGGCGCCG